CCAACCTTCCTCCCCGTTTCCCTTTTCCCCTTCCCCCACAAGACAGGGTTTCTCTGTGTAGCCCTGACTGTCCTGGAACTCCAGTCACAGGAGATGCCCTCTTCTGTCCTCAAAGGGCACCAGGCATACTTGTAATGTACAGACATATAGGCAGACAAAACACCTATACACATAAAATGTATAAATAAGCCAGGCATAGTGGTGCATGTCTTTATCTCAGCATTTAGGGGGCAGAGGCAGAGGGATTTCTGAGTTTGTGGTCAGCTTGGTCTACAGAGTGAGTTCCAAAACAGCCAAGGTATTGAAAAAACCTATCTCAAACAAAAACAGATAAATAAATTTGTTTGTGTGTCACCACCACCCAGCCTTCATACAGTTTTTTATTTACATCCTTTTCCCCGTTACTTAATAGGGAAACACCTGCGCAGGCCTCTGGGTTGACAATACTCATGAAGTAGTGTGTTGTCAGTGGAGTTGAGAAGACCAAGCCTGGTTTAGTGCTGTATGTTTAATTCTCATCTACTCAGGACTGTGAGGTAGAAAAAAGGCTTTGAATTCAGGAGTGAAATCTCATCTCAAAGGAAAAAGAACAAACATCCACATCCACAAACTCTGAAAGAACCAGAACACACCAAGACCAAATTCTCAGCTTAAGTTCTCTTATTTGCCCCATAGGGACAAAAGGCAGAGAGTAAGAGACAGAGACAGGAGACAAGGATGAGGGAGAAGGGAAAAGGGATATTTGCCCTGGAGGGACAAAGGATTGCCTTTGGATAGAGAGGAGACAGATGAGTCTCATAGGCAAATGGCAGTTAATGGGGTGGCGGGAAGGGAAACCCCTTGTTAGTATGAGGTATTTAATTTTATTTGGGCATGATAATTAGGGTAGCCAAAAAGGGGACTTTTGATTGCTGGACTTCAATATTTTGAAAGCCAGACATTGGTGGTCAACCTCAGGAGGAGGAAGTGGCCAAATAAGGGAATAGACCTTGGTGTCTCCCTTCAGGAATGTAATGTAACAGTTTAGCAAGGCAAAGGGAATGGGGGAAGGGCAAGGCCTGCCAGATCCATGTTTCTGGCGCTGGGGCCTTTCAAACTCCTTGACACCTTTCCTCAGTGTGGGTGGTTTGATTCTACCAGCATCATGAAGTCTGGGTCAAACACGGTGAATCTTGCATTTTGAGAAACTAAACCCAGAAAACCCACAAATCAGCTTCCAATGAAGTAGGCTGGAGAAGAAATCTCAGGGTCCCAAAGATTTTTTTTTGATCCTTCCTAGAAACTGCCAGTTTTTTTTTTTTTTTCCTGTATAACAGTCCTGGCTGGCTTTGTAGAGCAGGCTGTACCTCACAGAGATCCACCTGCCTCTGCCTCCTGAGTGTTGGGATTAAAGGTGTGTGCTACCACCACCAGGCGCCTGTTGTTCTTTGTGGAGGGTTGAGGCCTCATGGGCTTTGCCTGCCTGCATCCACTTTAGAATGTGCATTGTTCAGCTCATGTTTAGGCAGTCATGTTGGTGAGACTTTAGGGGTGTAGTTTTTGACATTATTAGGATACCACAGTCTCACAGCAAACTCCCTGATCATCTGGCTCTTAAAATCTTTCTGCTCCCTCTTCCACAATGTTCTCTGAGCTTTTTTTTTTTTTTTTTAATTTATTTATTAGTTCTAGTTAGGGAACAAGCTTGTTTCACATGTAAGTCCCTTCTCCCTCTCCCTCCCCTCCCCTCACCCTGGGTCCTTCCCCATGTGTCCAGGGCCAGAGTGTAATCTTTTACGTGGGATGGGCTCTCAAAGTCCCTTCTTGCACCAGGGAAAAATACTAATCCACCACCAGAGGCTCCCTGGAGCGCAGGGGCCTCCTTATTGACATCCATGTTCAGGGGTATAAAAGTTTTTTTTTTTTTTTAAGATTTTATTTATTTATTATGTGTACAACATTCTGCTTCCATGTATATCTGCACACCAGAAGAGGGCACCAGATCTCATAACAGATGGTTATGAGCCACCATGTGGTTGCTGGGAATCGAACTCAGGACCCCTGGAAGAGCAGTCGGTGCTCTTAACCTCTGAGCCATCTCTCCAGCCCCCTGTTCCCTGAGCTTTAGGTGTGTGTTTTGTAGATATATCCATTGAGACTGGGTTCCACAACTGCATTTTGATTGGTTGTGGTTTTCTATAATGTTCTTTCTGTTACAAAGAGAAGTTCCTTGAGGTTGAGGACTACACTTTTCTGAGGGTATAAGGACAAATATTTAGATTGTTGTTAGGGATTATGTTTGCTTAGTAAAGCAATTGTAGGTCCTTCAAGATTGATGACTTCACTAGCCCTGGGTAGTTTGCTAGATTTCCAGTACCAGGCATGGTTTTCCTCTTGTTGATATATATTGGTTTGATTCTACCAGCATCATGAAGTCTTGGTCAAACACGGTGAATCTTGCATTTTGAGAAACTAAACCCAGAAAACCCGACAGGGTTTCTCTGTGTATGTAGCCCTGGCTGTTCTGGAACTCATTCTGTACATTAACTAGGCTGGCCTTGAACTCAAGAGATCCACCAGTCTCTGCCTCCCTAGATTCTGGGATTGAAGACAATTGCCACCATTGCCCAGCTTGAGCTGTATTTTTTTTTTAACCTCATGTTCTGTGTCCCAGATCCCAAGAGAGCTGTTTGGAGGCTGATGTACCTGTTTGCTGAGTTAACTCCTGCCTGGATGAATGGAGTTCTTTTTTAAAAGAGCAGGTGTTCTGAGTCCTGCCTGGTAAAGTGCCAAATTTGAAAATGTTGATCTGGCCTCAGATTTCTCCCTGTCTTTGTCAGAGGCATCCTGCTTTGATGTCAGAGGAGTCGGATTAAGTAGGGGATGGAGAGCTGAACAAGGCCTGGACAAGGGCGATGGCTTTTTCTCTTTGCCCTCTATGGTTGACTTTTCAGGATAGTTTAGAAATCTTGACGTAAGCACTCTTTAAAGAACCTGTCTCGAAAAACCAAAAAGAAAGAAAAAAAGAACCTGCACACCCATCAGATTCTCCACTTGTACTTATTCTGTAAATTTTTATTTTAACAATTTTGTTCATTTATTCTTTCTGTGTCTTTCTTTGTTGTGCACCTGTGTTTGAGCGTGCATAGGTCAGAGGACAACTTGTCAGAGTGGGTTCTCTCATTCTGCTGTGTGGAGCTCAGGTCATCAGGCTGCCATCTTGCTGGCCGAAGCCAGTATTTTTTAGATCTTTTACCTTGAAACAGGGTCAAACCATGTAGCTAAAGCTGATCTCAAACTTAGAATCCTTTGTCTCCTGCTCCCAGGGATTATAGCCTGGTTTAGCTAGCTGAGATAGTTGATCATTGCTCTGCTGTTACACATGGACATTCTCATTGCACTTGCCACTTCAGTTGGCTGAAGCATAGATGTGATAAAAAGTTTCTATGCAAATGTGACTTCCTTGGTCATTTAGGTGATTTCCAGGTTCGTTTGTTCTTTCTCTCTTTTTTTTTGTGGTTGTTTTTTTGAGAAAGGGTGTTGATATGTAGCCCTGAGTGGCCTGGAGCTCACTCTGTAGACCAGGCTCTCCTCTTAACTCATAGAGATCCAACTACTTCTGTTTCCATGGTCCTGTGATGGAAGATGTGTGCCATTGTCTTACTTTAGGGTTGCTATTGCTGTGATGAAAACCATGACCAAAAGCAATTTGGGGAGGAAAGTGTTTATTTTGCTTCTATATCGTTAGTTCAGTCACTGAAGGCAGTCAGGGCAGGGACCTAGGACAGGAGCTGATGCAGATGCCATGGAGGAGTGCTTCTTACTCACTGGCTTCCTCTCAGTGGCTTGCCCAACCTGCTTTCTTATAGAGCCTAGGACACCAGCCCAGCAATAGCTCCACCCACAACAGGTTGGGTCCTCCCCCATCAATCACTAATTAAGAAAATGCCCTGTGGTAGTTGGTGTTAGCATACCTTTAATCTGTAGGCAGAGGCAGGCAGATTCTGAGTTCGAAACCAGCCTGGTCTATAGAGTGAGTTCCAGGACAGCCAGGGGCTACACAGAACTTTAAAACAAACAAACAAACAAAAACTTAAAAAGAAAACACACACACACACACACACACACACACACACGTGCTCGAAAATGCTCTACAACTTGCCTACAGCCTGATCTCTCAGATGACTTTAGCTTGTGTCAAATTGACATAAAACTATGCAACACAGCCATGATTTTCAGGGTTTTATTATTTAATGTACTTTTATAAATGTCTTTGAACCAGTACATTTTTTTTCTTCTGTATAAATTTACCAAATCATGCTGGGCATGGTGGTACACAACTGTAATCCCAGAACTCTGGAAGCAGAGGCAGGCTGATCTCTGAGTTCAAGGCTAGCCTTGTCTACAGAGTGAGTTCCAGGACAGCCAGAGCTGTTACACAGAGAAACCCTGTTTCATAAAACCAACCCCCCAAACCCCCCCCACCACCCCTCCCCCCAAAATCACAGGTAATAATAGATCCTGCTACTTTTGTTATTACAAAAATAGATTGAGCCAGGCGTTGGTGGCACACGCCTTTAGTTTCAGCACTTGGGAGGCAGAGGCAGGTGGATCTCCCTGTGAGTTCGAGGCCAGCCTGGTCTTCAGAGTGAGTTCCAGGACAGGATCCAAAGCAATACAGAGAAACCCTGTCTCAAACACACACGTACACACACACACAAATAGCTTGAACTGATTTATATTTCAACTGTGTCTCTGAGGCTTGGGAATTTTTTAGGTAGTTTTTTTTTTTTTCTTAAATAGTTTCTTGATAGTTCAGAGGCAGTGTAAGCCAGTTGCCTTCCTTTAGTTATTCACTATATTTTTGAAATGGAATTATTTTCTGCTTTTCATGTTAGTTTAGTATTTATTGAGGTCTTACTGAATGTTCTGTGCTGGGAGCTGTCTGTCTGTAGGTGACTCAGAAATGGGTAAGAGAATCTCTGCCTGCCTCTAAGGATCTATAGATGTAATATCGAAAGGGAGGAGGTGACTGCAGTGGAGGAAAAAAATGGCTGCAGAGTAAGAAAAGTACCCCAAAAGAACAGTTACAAAGAGAGCCCTGTAGCAAGAGACCAAACCTCCATCCGGGAGATGGGAGGTGATGACATTTGAACTGGATCTTGAAGGATAGCTAGGATTTCCATGGGAATGGGGGAGGAGCGTGGCAGGAAGTGCTGGATGAGCAGTTCACACCAGAGGAAAGCTTGAGATGTGCCCAGAGGGAATAAGCAGTCAGCTCTGAAACAGTCATCCCAGAGGGTTACAGGAGATGAAGCTGGAGAGGTAGGTTGGGTCGTGTTGTTTACTATTTAAACATTTGGACAAGTCACATGTGAGCCCTACCTTTCTAAAATGTGCTTGATTTTTTTTTTTTTCCTGCTTTGTTTTTTTGAAACAGAATCTTGTATAGACTGGCCCCCAAGAGTAGATTAGATCACCTTGCCTAGCCTACCAAGTGCTGGGATGGCAGGCATGAGCCACACAATTCCTAGCTTGTGCTTTGATTTTAAATTTTATAAGTTATGTGATTATTACACTGTCCCCATTTGCTATTTATTGTTGCATTAAGAAATAATATTGTCTTTTTTAACCTTTACAAGTATGTCATGTGTACGGGATAGACTACTTTTCATTAGTATTAGACATTTACTTCCTCTCCAAACTGGAGTGTGTGGCTTCCTTTTAGCTGTTTTGCTCTCCCTTTGTCCCATGTGGGATTAATTAGTGTATTGGAGAGAGTGTCAGCTGAAGTTAGTTTTTCTTCTACCACATGGTCTAGTTGGGCTTTAATTATATTATTCATCTGCTTATTTTCAGTCTTACTTGTTGTTTTTTGGTATTTTAATTTATTAAAATATTTTTTAAACCAACTCTTAAGTAGTTTGGGTAGTCTTTTTTTTTTTTTTTTTAAGTTGATGGAGTTAAAGAAAACTGAGCATTTTCACAGGTATCTTACCAGGTGTTCTTGGGTCCCTGGCTTTCTTTTTCTGGTCTGATCATTTTCTTTTGAATAATGTTCTCATGTTCTGAGTTAATATTTGATGCTATTATAATTGAACATTTAAAAATTTGTGCTTTTCATCAGTTATAGATTATTTGATTTGAATGAAGTGTTCATAGTCTATTACAGTTGATTAACTGTATGTTCATTTTTGGATTTGTTGTCTTTGTCTGCAAGATGTAGCTTTCCCATCAGCAGTCTTGGTTGCAGACTCAGGGGCAGCTCTTGAGTCCCAGGAACACTGAGTATCCAGAGTGAGGATTCCAGAGACTCTCCTGAAGGGACATGTGTTAGTTCTGTGGGCTGTTAGAAGTAGACGAGACCTTGCCACTTTTCACACTCTGGGCGATTTTCACCAAGGAGGGAAAGGAACTTGTTACCCTCCAACGACTGGAGCAGGAGACAGTTGAACTTTTATCCTATATCTTGTGGATATAGGTTGATTTCAGACAATGGCATGAAAAGTTGCTAAGTTTCCTCAGTGCTGACATTTGGTAACTTTATCTAAAATTCTTTTAAAAGTGTTTTCAAATAATAATTTGAATCTTTCAAAAAGTGCCCCCTCTATATTCTACTCTCTTAAGTGATTAAAGGAGTAAAGCATTAAAAAAAAAAAAAAAATGGGAGAGCCGGGCATGGTAGTGCATGTCTTTAATCTCAATCTCTGTGAGTTCAAAGCCAGCCTCATCTACCTAACATGTTCCAGGCCAGCCAGAGCCTGGAATTGTGGGACTCTGTCTTAAGAAAAGAGAGAAGGACATCCCTAGTAAAAGATCCTGTTTTAAGGGTTATGATGTCAGTTGTAGAAACAGTGGTTCCCTTGAAATAAACACCTTTCTGGAATTGATTTACTGAGTGTAACTGTTTACAAGAAAATTTCAGTATCTCAGATATTCTTAAATGCATTCCCTTTTTAGAAAGAATATAACAGTGACTCATCTACCTAGGCTCCAGAGTCAGGTGAAATCTTAAAATCTAGGGAGTTTTAGGGACTGCCTGGCCAAGTAGTCTGTCATTGTTGTCCTTATAGATATGTGTGAATCCAGGATAATTATGTTTCCTTTCTAATTGAGTTATGTTTGACATAGCCAAGTTAGTTTAAAAAGTAGATCCATGTGAGTTACTAGATTTGATACCCAGAACCACAAATATAAACAAAAAAAATAAATAAAAGACCTTCACTGAATTGAGAGTTTAAGTTATTTGTCCTCTTTGCTTTTGTACTTCCCTCTGATAAACAGCCCCGCAGAGAATGCCCTTGTCAGATGAGACCTCAGAAAGTTAACAGGAATTCTTAGCTAACTGTAAACATTTTGTGTAATGGCTTATTGAAATGCACACCAAAATCCTACCACAGTGCCAACCTATCTTTCATCCCTGCTTTCCCTTTTGGGCTTTGTGGTGTGTTAGTGAGACAGGAAGAGTAGAGCCACTTAACATTCCAATAATTACTAGTATTGCAAAAAACTTTATCTGCTTATCTTAGTTACTCATTTATGTTTACTAATAAACCTTGGTCATTGAGGGTTGGCAAGATGTTTTAGCAATTCAGGGCACCTGCCTTGCTGAATGACCCTGGGATCCACTTGGTGGAAATTGAGAACTGACCTCTATCTATACTTTGCTCAGTGGCACATGTGCGCACGCGCACGCGCACACACACACGGAATAAAAATAAAAGCTTAGTCATTGAAATCAAGGAAAGCATGTATCCATAAGGATGGCTGGCATCTCAGTTTCAGGAAAGACCAATGGATATCTGGGCTAAGCTTCTAACCACATTATATTAATATAGAAACCTTGACACTTGTATTATTCTTTTTGTTGTTTATTTGAGACAGGGTTTCTCTGTGTAGCCCTGACTGTCCTGGAACTCACTCTGTAGACCAGGCTGGCCTTGAACTCACAGAGATCCTCCTGCCTCTGTGCACCACCACTGTCTGGCTTTTATTATTTTTATACTGGAACATACTTCGACAACAGTCTCTTGCCTAAGAGACAAAATTAACTCAATTAACAATTACTAAATTATTCCTGGGTTAGCCATAAATGCCACTTGTTGCATTCTTATTTCTGAGTGTGGTAATTTTTTAGAAACAGTCCTAAGGCTTTCCATATAAAAAAGCTATACCATCCCTAGTAGGGGAAGGCAAAGGGATGAGTTAGGAAAGTATCAGAAACAAGCAACAGGTGTTTTGGTTGCACTGAGTCATGTTTCAGCTTGATATGCAGTCACAGGAGGAGTGTAAATCGTTGCTGACCAAATGAGGCAAAGGGGACAGAGGGTGAGCGGAAATCAGTGGTTCCGGAGGTACCAAGCCTTAACATTACCAGAAGCTTGCCCACAGCTGTGGGCCTGGGACAACTCTTGGGCTGGTTGCTTTCCTGATAGACAGGGCTGTATGTGAGAACCAGAGCTTTCAGTCTGCAAGGTAATAAAATGGATGTGTGCAGGAAAGCTGGTAAGGATGGAGTCTGCAGACGAAAGGGGAACAAACAGCTGGCACTCACTGAGGACTTCTGGTCTCTGTAGTTAGTGGCATTCTACAAGGATGGCGGTCAGGGTTTATTATATCAATAGGGGGTGTAAAGCTCAGGGAAGCTGAGTAATTTCTGGTAAATTGTGGGTCTAGGTTTAGAGCTTAGGTCTGCTCTAGTCTAACATCACTCCTCACCTCATTGTAAAATGCAGGAGGATTTTATAGAGCTATACTATTCAAAACTAGATATTACCCACATATAGCTATTTATATCTAACTTAAATATAATCTAAAATCCAGTACAGTTTAAATATCAGTTTCTCAGCTACACTAGTCACCTTTAAAAGGCTTAATGGCCGCTATGGAGACTATATTGGGTAGCACACATGTAGACCATTTCCATCATTATGTAATGTCTGTGAGTGCTGGTCTAGAAGCCAATCTGTTTGTCCTTTAGTTAATTTTTTCCCTTTATTTTGCAAAGGACAAAACGAGGGATGAAAAAGGAGACATCATGTTCAACTAACACACATACTAATCCAGGCTATCAGCCTGGCTGCACAGTGGAGTCTCCCATGCCCTCCCTTAAAACCAAATTGTAGAATGGAGATGTTTAAAAGGAGTGACTTTTCTGTGTCTTCAGCTTCACTTAGTCTATATATAGTTAGATTCTTTCTTCAGAAGCTTTTCTTGCAAGTTCAAAGGGCATATCCGGGTTGGCTTCCCCCAAGGAAATGAAAGATGTTTGTTGGAAAGGAATTCCACACTTAATATATGAAGTGGCACTTGGATTCCCTCTGCTTCCTTCTCTGCCTTCCTTCCAGGCACTTTGTAATTGAACTTGCAGCTGCTAACCATCTGTCTTCCAAACAAGACCAGCTTCCAAACAGTTCAAATGACAGAGGTTTGTCTGCTTCAAATATTAACAGCTGCCTGTTACTTGTTGTCGATATACATGGCATTTGTGTAGATCAGATAGATTTAGATTATGACCAAAATTACAATGAATTTTTTTTTCTTTTAATCCTCTTGCCTCAGCCTACCAAATGCTGGGATTATAAGCTTGTGTCACTACACCTAGCTCCAAAATTAAGTGACCTTCTAATTTATTTGTTAAAGATTAAGATACTTAATGCACATTGTACCTACTGATATTAGGTACACATCTAATAAACGAGGTACAGGCTTGCAAGATGCACTTTATTTACTTATTTATTGAGACAGGAACTCACAATGAAACTCTGATTGGTCTGTCCCTTTCTCCTGAGTGCTAGGACCAAAGGCATGTGTCACCATGGCTGATCCTAAAAGGACTTCAAATAAAAACTGAAAAGTGGGGGCTGGGTGTGGTGTTGCATGCTTTTAATCTCAGCACTCGGGAGACAGAGGCAGGCAGATCTCTGTGAGTTCCAGGCTAGCCTGGTCTCCAGAGCTACACTGTCTCGAAAACCAAAAAAAAAAAAAAAAAAAAAAAAAAGAAAGAAAGAAAAGTGACTCATGCTACAGGGTTCAAGCAGGGGGGTTTTTTTTTTTTTTTTTTTTTTTTTTTTAATTAGGGAAAGGGGGAGACCAGCCTATGGAGACAGGTGCAGCAGAAGGGAGGAGATAGAGGGGGGGATGGGAGGTGGGCAGGGCCCTTTTAAAAGGGAGCATAGTGAATGTGGCTGCAGCTGAAGGCATATCCTGTCAGAACCCCAAGGACAGGCCAGTACAGATGCCTGAATACTAACAGACTAGTCTATCATGCTGTAGGCCAGCCAAAGCTACTTAGTGAGATCCTGTCTCACAAGTTTTTAAAACTCAGATATTATGGACAAGGTGAATGAATTTTAAATTCTTATCTGAATTTTGTTGTCAGTATTTGTCATCTATTTATTTGCCTATTTGGTCTTTAAATTCAGTAAAGGCTTCATTTTAGATCATAGCTCTAAAGTAAATTGAAGAATCATGTATAAATGTCCCTCCAGTCAAGCTGTTAAAGACATTTAAATTATACTCTCCAATGTCTAAATGGCAGTCTGAATGAAGTGTATGTGTGCATTTGGGGGATGGGCATGTGGGAGTAAAAAGGAGGCATTGTACTGAGATAATATTTTTAGGATGTCAGTGTAATTAACAGACTCAGGGTTTAGAAAATTGCCCTTTGGAAACAGAAATTAAGGTCTTGAGTTTCTTCTTAAATGTTAAAGTCCTATGCATGAGTATACTCAGATGGATTAAAGTGGAGACATTGGAATGATGGAAAGTATCCACAACATTGTCTTCCTGGAGTACAAAGACAGGAAGAGAAAGAACTTCAGTGATGGTGGGAACAGCTGGCAGGGATCTCTAGGAGCTCTGGCATCTGGCTAGATTATGTGGTTAGGGAGTGGAGTATCCTGAGGGCCATTGTTTTGGGAAATCTGGTCTGTCTAATTTCTAGAAAGATGAGATAGACTGAGAGTTTGGTTAGAAGGTCCAACTATAAATTGGTCTGGGGGGATGATTTTTTTTTTTTTTTCTTGGTGGCACTTGTGTGGGTGCAGGCTGTTCAGTGCAAAGTCTAGCATTCTAAGAGGATTCAGAACAAACCTGTGGCTCACCTGAATCCAGAGACTAGCCATTTTGTCAGAGGAATCTAAAAATCTTCAGCTTATTCAGTCTTCAGGACTTAGGGCTTTGGAGTGGAGTTGTTGTGTGTGAAGTATGTGGTCTGTGCTCCTTCCCTGGTATAGCTGTTAGCTCAACACTTTGACCATCCTGTACCCAGGCTGCTTCTCTGGAGAGTGGTGTTGACGTTAATGACGTTGTCTTTAAGGGTATAGACCAGATGGGTCACCGTTCATCATACTTATAAGTTCCAAGTGGATAGATTAAGTTTTATTCTGGGAGGGAACCTTAGAGATGTCCTTTTGTGATCCTATCTTTTGGCAGAGGAAGAATCTGGAACTACAAAGAAGGGGTAAAAGAAGTTGGCATTTGCATGGCAGTTCTATTCTGAATCTGTGCTCTGAGTGGCACAGCCTCTGCTGGCACTGCACAGCAGAAAGATTCCAGCCAGCTTAAGTGTGAGTTGTGATTCTGCTTCTTACTATCCTTGTGGTTTTCGGCATGTGTTTTCACATCCTTGAGTCTGTTTCTGCATCTGCAAAATGGGCATTAAAACAATGTTCTCAACAGAAAGGATTCCTAGATTCTGGTGTAAAAAGCAATCTGTGATTAACAGGACTAATGGTAATGACAGGCCAGACCCAGCCCAGGAACCTTACTCTCTTTAGGTGATCTGAGAGAGAATTCTCACTTTCCAGAGAGCCTCCAGTGCTGGAACTCTTCACCTGTTCTTTAGCCATACAGACTCAGAATACAGACAACACCGGACATAATTGGAATTTTTGTGATGTGCAGGAAGCAAAAGAATTATTTTCAGTGAAACACGAGTCTGTGAAAGGTGCCTAGGAAACAACTGCAAAGTGCATCCTAATATAGATTCTTCCTGGCCTTGCTGGCTGGCCGTCTGCCTGACCAGCACCACCAGGAAGCTCAGCTTTTTTCTCCAGGGTTTAAGGAGGATTATCTGGGCTCTGCATGAATGTGTCTACCTGGGTGGGGAGGCACAGTGAGGAAGGGCAGTCAGGGGCCTTTGAACTGGGAGATGTTACCTCAGTGACTGAAGCCACATGTTGGGATCAGCTTAAGGTTCATCTAAACGTCTTTCTCAGTGGACTCTGGCTCCTGCTTGTACTGTCTGCACTGGGGAGTCCCTTTGACACCCTCAGTGAGTGTTGAAGCCCAAATCCATGTCAGAATAAACGATACGTCATTTCCTTGGTAAATCCATCCCAGACCTTTCTTTTGCTGACCATGTACTCATACCCATCCCACTTCAGTCCACACAGTTGGCTCTGGCTTGGGGAAGTCTGGGCTGGATGGCTCTCTTCTTCTTCTCCTTCTCCTTCTCCTTCTCCTTCTCCTTTTCTCCTCCTTCTCCTTCTCCTTCTCCTTCTCCTTCTTCTCCTTCTTCTTCTTCTCCTTCTTCTTCTTCTTTTAATTAAAAACAAATTGTGTGTATGTGAACGTGGGTTTGTATGTCACAATCTGCATTGGAGGTCAGAGGACAGCTTTTGGGAGTCTATTCTGTATACCCCAGACTATCTGGCCTTTGAACTTCTGGGAGAGTCTCATGTTTCTGCCTCTTATCTCACAGTAGGAGTGCTAAGATTACACATATGAGCTATTGCATCCAACCTTTTGTGGGTTCTGAGGATGGAACTCAGGTCATTATGCTTGCATGACAGGTGGTTTTATCCATTGAGCCATCTAACTGGTTCTGGCTCATCACTCCCTAAAATATTAATTAATCATTTGTTTATGTACAGGTGCATGTGGTGACCCACAGTGTGTATATAGGTCAGAAGACAACCTACAGGAATTTGTTCTTTTCCTTCCTCCGTATGCTTCCAGGGATGGAACTCAGATGGCCAGGCTTGTCAACAAGCACCTTTATCTGCTGAGCTAAGGCAGCCCTGTCTTCTTTGCCTTCAGTGAATAACACATTCCCTGTTGTGTGTGTCAACTTCCTTCACTATAACAAAATTCATAAAGAGAAAAAGAAGACTGGATAGTCAGAAGGTGGAGGCCGAAGAATTGAGAGGTTGAGGTCAGCTTGGACTACATAATAAGACCTTGTCTCCTCCTCCCACAATAAAAGAGAAAGGGAGAAGGGGGAGAAAGAAGGAGGGATAGAGGAGGGAGGCTCACAATGTTGAGTCTATTGATTGCTGCTGTTGATTTGGGCCTTGGTGAGGCAGCACATCGTGATGGCAGCACATGCAGAATAAAATTGCTCCTTTCGTTATCAAAAAGCAAAGGAGAAAAGGATGAGAGGTTCTTTTGTGGGTACCTCCCATGATATGGGCTTGTACCTAGGGGCTGCCCCCTATCACTTCCCAGTAGTACACAGGGTGAAGGCTACACTTTTCACACTTGGGCTTTGGGGACTTTTTGGAGTCAACTGAAGCACCAGGGATCTGCACTTGATCTTAGCTAAAAGGCCGAGGAATCGATGCACCTGGGATCTGATTTAGAAGTTGTGCTGATGACTAAAGACTTGAGATGAAGTAAAGATAGGACTGTAGATTCTGGTAGCCAGAGGTCACAACTCTGCTAGTCTCTGTGAGGTCCAACTTTTACTTCATTTTTGGCTTATGTAGTATTTGTGCTATTAGGCCCAATGCGATTGATTTTGTTTTCATGTCTGTTTATTCCCTGTTTATTAAACATGTCTGTTTAATCCTGTTGCATGGGATGTACTTTCTCTACTTGATAGATGGGGAAGCAGTTTTTTGTTGCAAGACTTGTGCATATCATACAGGCCATTGAGAGGGCCTGTAGTTCTCTTTGCTGCTCTTTAGCAGACAGCTCCTTCCTAGCCTCGAGGGGGAAACATTTGGCAAGAATGTATTGGTGTTGACATCTACACTGTTTTGTGGCATGTCCTCAGTGCTGTGCCTGGCTTAACAGGAGGCTCGAGGAAGGCTTGAAAGGCTTGGATGGATTGGCAAGCCTTCTTAGAATGCCCGGCTTCCTGCTACTCCCTAGCAACCTGCACATGCTGAGCTCATGATGGATATGTGACATTGGTGGCTGAATTTACATGGCACCTGGTGGCTTTTCACACTCCCCCTCACGCCTCTGTGGGGACTAGGATGGGACAGATGGCCACAGACACAGTATTCTCAGCTCTGCACCCTCTTTGCAAATCAGTTGAGGGAAAGTTAAGTTTTTGCAACAACACAGTTTTGGTAATTTTATGATTTCATGCTGCTGGTAAGTTGCTTAACACTTTGGATAGATCACACCTCAGCAGTGTTCATTTGGGAACAGCTTAATTTCACTGTAGGTAGCTGTGGTTCCCACCCACCAAGCCTCCTACCCCTTAATAAATTGACACTGATAAGGTTTAACTCCCTGAGCCAGGCAATTTTTGGGTCCAGAATTATATTAATCATTTTTTTCTCATTAACACCTTTGAATTCCTTCTCCCTTGATTGTAGACATCTGCTTTTAAAATGTTAGAGGTGGAAATACTCGTAATGGTTCGGCTTCCTTCCCTTGTATGGGTTTGAAGAGATTGAGGCCAGAGAGACTGAGTACTTAGTTGGTATGGGCCTGGTGAAGACCTGAAATGAGATCCAGGGCTCCTGGTTTCTCTGAGAGCAGGGCTCCTGGTTTTTGTTCTGGCTCACTGCCTGCCCTTCACTTCTGTCTTAAGATAGGGAAAGCTCTATGATCTATTTAGTTAAAAGTGAATTAAAGGCAGATCTTTGTTCATTATTAGAGGCCCCAGTCCTGAGTGAATTAATTTCCTTTTATTTTCTCTTGATATCTTAAAAGTTTGTTTTGGTGCTTTGTTATTGTTTTAAAAATTTTAATTATTGTTAATTATTATTGATAGAGTCTCATTGTATTCCTGGCAGCTACTTAGCCCAGGCTGGCCTTGAGCTTATTATGCCAATCCTGCTTCAACTCCCTGAGTGTTTAAAACACAGATGTGTGAGCTACCATGCCCAGATCTAGACTTTTTTTCCTCCTGAAACAGGGTTTCTCTGTGTAACAGCCCTAGCTGTTCTGTTACTTCCTCTGTAGACCAGGCTGGCCTCAAACTCACAGAGATCTGCCTGCCTCTGCCTCCCGAGTGCTGGTATTAAAGGAGTGTGTCACCATCACCCAGCAAGACTTTTTGATTAAAAAACTTCCTCTTAACATATTTGGTGGGACACAGTTTTATAATCCCATCTCAGGAAGCTGAGGCAGGGGGTTTAGAGTTCCAGAACAGTCTGGGCTTCATAGCAAGACCCTGTAAAACAAAACATTGCCTTAAGTAATTATGTTGCTTAGAATGTTTTTCTCACCTCTTATTCATATTTTCTCATGGTAGGGCCTGAAAGAGTTAATGGTCCTTTCAGAATAACCAGGCATCTCCCAGGAAGTAGCAGACCCCCAGGATGTGGCAAACCAGTGGGTAAATGAAGCCCTTCTCCTTTGGAAGAAAAGGAAGTGGGAGGAGAAGTGAAGAGGAAGAGCTCAGAGGGCAGGCCTTGTCATCTCTGCTCTAAGAATGTGCTTCTTTGAAGCCAAGCAGACCCTGTAAAATTTTGATCCAAAGTGACCAAGGTCCTGAAAATGCAAGTTGTGATGATTTTGGAGTTATCTATTTTACCCACAGCTAGTATCTCTGCTTTGTAATCTCAATCATTGCTTTGTCTCCTCCCTATTGGCCTGTCTTTTAATTGCTCCTGGCCATCTACATTTGGAATTTAAGAAGTTAGATGAGGTCCAGCTTCTGCAAAATCACCTCTCCAATGCATTTACCTATGTATTCATTCAGAACACACCCCTACCTATTCTCTGTACATGCTCATAGCAGTTCCCATGCCACAGGGCAAGGTTGTCCTTCTGCTTACTGTCTTGTTCCAGATCCGATGCCCAGCTGCTGGCAGAGTTGATCTTTACCTTATTTGCCTTCCTCTTTCATCCTTTGCCTCGGGACTTTGTTACACATTCCTGGCCTACTTTGTTAGGCACATATTGTGTCACTCTGAATTGTCAGCTTGCAGATCTTAGATGGCCCCAATAGTAGATTCAGAATACCCTTGTCCCATGGCAATTTTGGGCAATAACTATACAAATTTAGGCCATACTTGATTGGCTAAGGGCATAGTCTTTTTTTTAAAAAAAAGATTTATTTATTATGTATACAGTGTTTATGTCTGCCTGCAGGCCAGAAGAAGGAAGCAGATCTCATTATAGATGGTTGTGAGTCACAATGTGGTTGCTGGGAATTGAACTCAGAACCTCTGGAAGAACAGTTAGTGCTCTTAACCTCCAAGCCATCTGCAGCCCATGGGCATAGTCTTTTTTTAAGACTGCTTTTATTAGCCGGGCGGTGGTGGCGCACGCCTTTAATCCCAGCACTCAGGAGGCAGAGGCAGGTGGATCTCTGTGAGTTCGAGACCAGCCTGGTCTACAAGAGCTAGTTCTAGGACAGCCTCCAAAACTACAGAGAAACCTTGTCTCGAAAATCAAACAAACAACAACAACAAAAAGACTGCTTTTATTTTAGACATTGGCTGGTAGCTCGGGAGTTCCCAAGTAGTGCTACAAATTCAGGGGTCTTATTACCTTCTCAGGGTCCAGAATTTCCTAGAATAATTATAGAATGCTGGAAAGTACTGATTGCTATTCTGGTAATGGTTTTATTACATCAAAAGGATAATAATCAAGATCAGCCAAAAGAAGAGACACAAAGAGTAATGCCTGGGAGAACTGCAAAAAAGTGCAGCTGCTAGTGTCCTCTCCCGGTATCCACAGGGCACGTCCCTCTCTGGTACACTGATGTACAATATGCACAAAATTTTGCTTACCAGGCATTCTCTGCAAGTTTTGCTGATAACTCTTACTTCAAAGCCCAGTTCACTAGTTGCCTGCTTGGCGTTTCTGCTATAGCCAACCCTTCTCTTTTATTATCTCTTCAGTAGACTATCTAGGGACTCACTATGAGTCATCTCAGTATAAATCATTAGGGCATATCATGAAGGACAGACACACCTATTGCTCAAAAATTGCATAGATTTACAGGCTGCCTCCCATAGAAGACAAAGTCCAGCAGGTTGTTCATTATACAACAACCCCCTAC